TTGCATCTGCCCTGTTTTTTCTAGCTTCGTGCATTCCCTTCTTATCAGCACTTGAATGTGGGTAAGTTTCATTTACAGTAAAAAGCAACATTTTGAGCACAAAGGTGAGGAAATCACTTTTTTTTCAAGACTACATCAGGAGGGGATTCAGAAAGATCAGCCAAACAAAGATGGAGTAGATCGAGTCCATGAACACCCTACCCCCAAAGCTTCACAGTCATCAACCCTTCCTGGGTCGACATTTCATTCAGTAGGCAATTTTGATTTATATGCTGTTTAATGTTGATGATGATAAACCCTGCGTCCCAATTCGCATACTATCCGTCCTAAATAGTATTCGAAAATAGAATTAGTACGTCCCAAACCGTAGTATGTTGAAATTAGTGTTTCAAAGATACCCGGATGGTCTACTTTTTCCGGTCAGAATCCGAAGTGTAGATCGATGCACACTCTAACGGCTGATATTGCCCACAAACCATTGCGCGTTGGACGAGGATTCGGTTAGAACTACAAACACGAGTAAAAAGTGTTAAAAAACTACAGACACGTAGTCGATACGGAGGACGCGCGAGTCCCCACGGTTGTGTAGAGAGGTTTAGATAAAGAGCTTTGAGTGATTAATTATCAGTATCAAACCTGACGAAAATGAACTTATTCAATGTTGTCCACATTATATTGCATTTTCAGCAGCATTGTGAACTTTTGTAAAGACACGTTTAGCCATTACGTTTTAAATGCATCATTATATTCAAATTGCAAACACATGAGGAGAGCATGAAAGACCCACAACTGGCAGATGAACGTGCACTCCGAAACGGTAGGAAATAAAATTAGATAGAATGGAGGATTTTAACTGTGACAAGATGATTGACAGGGCAGTTTATGGTGACAGAATGCACGCGACAGAGCTGTCCGTTAAAGATGATGTGATAGTATGTCCCAAAGCTTGCCTACTCTTTTGCTACACACTCAAAAGTATGTACTTTTTCCTCACAAAAAGAGTACATACTTTTAGGGCGTAGTATAAGTAAGCGAATTGGGACGCAGCATTAGTTTGTTTCTGCTTCTTCTTTGCCAGTGTTTTGATCAGGAGATTAAGTAGGCCTACTCTTTCAGAAGATGTGTCACAGCGCCCCCTACCAACAGTGAAAACAAGGAAAGATAGAAATTCCGGGATGGGTCAGTCTGCGGAGATGCAAGAGAGGGGCATAACTTAAAGTAACTTTTAGCAGTAGATGTAACTCTTAGGCTGCGTCCGAAATCACATACTCTCTAGAGTAGGTACTTATTTTGAATCGGAGTAATTACTTAAGGGCTGCTAAAAAATTATGTTCTATATAGTATCATATGCACACCAGAATCTGGCTGGAAGTAGAAGGTCATCCAGTAACTTTTTTGCCTACTTTTTTATCAGTACTTTTTTACAATCAGAGATTGGTTTGCTTTTATATTCTTGAATAACGTTATTTTCCAGGTAAAGTTAGTTTTGATTGATTCACTTCCGTCGAATGATCATTTGTTATTAAATTGGGGGGCCGCTAAGATGATACCGTTCTCTCTAAACAGACTTTAAACGCGAACCTGTGATAAATGCTGATGGCGTTCACATGCGCATTAAGAATTGATTCTTTAGTTGTGTCCGTTTGAATATATGTGTTTAATTTTGTAACAGAATTTTATTTTGAAACAGAATTTTATTGTATCACTTCGGGTTGGTACGTAAACCCTAATTTCCACAACGCTTTGTCTGTGGAGTGGAATAGGGATCCTCCATAGAGAGAGGCTAGTTGATACTTCAGCACTTCGGGTCCAGGTGAAGGTACTTCGTCAGATCTGGATACGGCCTGGATCCGGCAGGCTGCGGGAAAACTTCGGGATAAACAAAGACACTAAAATTAGCGTAGATGCCATTCTACTTATGATGTAACGTGTACATCAGGATTTATGGGAAGTGTTTCCAGTTCCGGCTGACCTAATCTACGCAGCCTAACATTGAATTATAGAAGTTGAGGTAACACTTAATTTCGATAGTCCACTTTGGACGTTCTACTAACTATAAGTAACTTTTCAACTACATGTCAACTAACTGTCATTAGAGTATTAGTAGACTGCTAACACTTTATTTTGTTGTTCCCCCAACAGACATTCAACTGACTTGACAACTACTTGGCGACTACAAATAAACTTATTCTACAAACCCGAACCCTAACAGTCTACTGACAGTCTACTATAATATACTAATACTCTAATGACAGTTAGTTGACATGTAGTTGAAAGGTTACTTATAATGAGTAGAGTGACTATCGAAATAAAGTGTAACCGAAGTTGATAATGCATTATGTGTATGCTAGGCCAAAGAGATGTGTTTTTAGTCTAGCTTTGAACTGACAGAGTGCGTCTGCTTCCCGGACAATGGTAGGAAGACTATTCCAGAGTTTTGGTGCTAAATAGGAAAAGGATCTACTGTCAGCAGTCAATTTTAATATTGTAGGTATTATCGCAACTGGCCGGAAGTTTGAGATTGCAATAGATGTGAAGGACTATAATGCGTCAAGTACTGCGGAGCTAAACCATTTAGTGCTTTGTCAGCAATATTTTGAGATTTACGATGTTTAATAGGCAGCCAATGCAGTGTTGATAGAATCGGGCTAATGTGATCATACTGGTTCTTAATGAGATTTCGAGCTGCAGTGTTTTGAACTAGCTGAAGTTTTTTTATTAAGCGTGCAGGACAACCACCCAGTAGAGCATTACAATAATCTACGCATGAACTAATTGTTCCACATTTGTCAATGAGAGCATATGGTGTAATTTAGATATATTTGTAAGATGGAAAAATGCGGTTCTACAGATACTAGACACATGACTTGGTTTAAATGAGCAGTACCTTATAAAACCTTATTTTTCCATCTTAAAAATATATCTTTTTAGCTTTTAGTATGGACATGTTAGTCTTAAGATTATGAATAAGCGGGTGTGTTCCAAAACAATGATGAAATTCGCATTTAGGAGAAATGAGCATTCAAAACTTAGCATTCATAACATCACGGCGGACTTCTCATCACATGTTCTGTCTAAATCTAAAGTGTCCCACCCCCTATGCTATAAATAACACCTGGCCAAAGCAACCGTTGAGAGAGCAATATGGGTTGGAGATGAGTGTTAGGTTGCTCAAAAGCTTGAGTTTGATTCCGTTTAACAAATGTACGTTGGTTAAGAATGAAATGAATGAAAGAAATTCAAAGAATCAGCGCATCATACAAAGCTTCACATTCCAAGGCACTTCAGTGGGCCTTTAAGAAAGCAATAAACGAGAAGTGCCAGTAATACAAAATTTCAGTCATTAAGATTAAGAAATAATGAGAGCATATACAAAGGAATAGTGACCGCATAGAATATTTTTTAGCAGGATGAGTTTTCAGCTGTTTTTTTTATTTTTATTTGTTTGTTTGTTTTTGAAAATTGGACAAATTTGGCTTCCAGGATGGGGTTGGGAGCCAGCAAGGAACAGTGAACGAATTTCTCCCGATTTCTCTCAACATGGGGACATGTTGGCCAATACTGTTTTTGGTAAAATAAAGTAACTTGTTTGAAAAAGTATTTACTAGTTTTTGTGGAACAAATAATCTGATTACATAACTCTCGTTACTTGTAATGCGTCTCACCCAAACACTGGTTATTAAATATGTGCAATTTTTAGAGGACTGACTAAATATCACAAATATCAAAGATTTACGATCATAAAAGGACAAAAAGCTATTCAATGTTAAAGGACAACTCCGGCACAAAATGAACCTTTGGTCTAATTACACATTGCTACCTAGTCAACCGTTATCTGAGATTTGTTTTCATGATTGCCGAATGTAAATAGTTTTATCTCTAAAAACAGTTTAGCCTATAACGCTAGTTCAATGCTAGTATATAGGGCATAGAGTAATGACAAATAAAAATCGCTTGTTATTACCACTAAAAAGGCTCAAAATAGCCCCACACCAAAACGACAGCATAACAAGGGTCCCTACATTCAAACCGAAGCGTTGAGAACTTTGTCAGTGTCCACACAGTTTAATAAGAAGATATTTTATACACAGAGTAAATTTCGCGAATACAGGAAGAAGCCATCTTTGAAAAATAGTCTCTACCAGTCGATCTACGAACGCCGATCCAAGTGCGCTGAACTGTGCAGAATCTCATATGATCCGTTGTTTCCAGAAGAAACACAAACACAAACCGTTTACTTGTCTTCAATATGTACACGTAGCCTACTGTTCACGCTCACCTTATCACCTTATTCACATCTCACCGGCGCACTTGGATCGACGTTCGTAGATCGACTGGTAGATACTATTTTTCCAAGATGGCTTCTTCCTGAATTCGCGAAATGTACTGTGTCTATAAAACATCTGCTTATTAAACTGTATGGACACTGACAAAGTTCTCAATGCTTCGGTTTGAATGTAGGGACCCTTATTATGCTGTCGTGTTACTGTGGGGCTATTTTGAGCCTTTTTAGTGGTAATAACAAGCGATTTTTATTTGTCATTACTCTATGCCCTATATACTAGCATTATACTAGCGTTATAGGCTAAACTGTTTTTAGAGATAAAACTATTTACATTCGGCAATCATGAAAACAAATCTCAGATAACGGTTGACTAGGTAACAATGTGTAATTAGACTATAGGTTCATTTTGCGCCGGAGTTGTCCTTTAAAGGAAGGGGGTTAAGCGAAAAACTTACACCCCAAAACCTACAGATTAGAGAACCGTAAGTCCTTTACATTTTTCCCAATTGAAGAGGATACAACTATGCTAAGTTTGGAGCAAAAATCATGGGTTAGGTGTGATGCGCTTGCAAATTATTTAACGTGTTCCAACTGCACAATGCACGGTCTGCCCCTATTCTTTCAAAACCCGATTGGCTTGTAGGAACAGAGGACGTCCTCACGTTACATCACTTCATTTTCCAGCCCTCATAAAAGAAAGGAAGGAACAGTTTTTACCCACAGAAAGAAGATGAAGGTGATAACATGCTGACTGAACTTAAGTATAATCTTCGGCTTCGACATCCATGTTTTATGTCAAGAGAAAAGACAGATCACATCAGTGCGAAGGTGACTCAGTTTATTTGTCCTAATTAAAATTTTTTCATAAATTGGAGGAAATGTGAAGTTGTCGTGCTTTGTTTTTTTGTTTTCAAAGAAATGGGATCTGATCGTGGGATCATGGACCGAGTATCCTATGCTCATCCCTTGACGTTTGGCTCGTCTTTGAACAACCAGTGTTTCCCCTTCAAAGACGCTCTGAAAAATCCCCAGAATGACCCAGAGCAAGTCAACCGTCAACGGTACATCGGAGGCTTTTCCTACCTGTCCTACCATGGGAACTTCAGTGTGCATGACCTCTCCTCGGAACCTGCATTCATCCACAGACGTAACGAGAGAGAGCGGCAGAGAGTCCGCTGTGTCAATGAGGGATATGCCAGACTCCGCGAACATTTGCCACAGGAATTTGAGGATAAGAGACTCAGCAAGGTAGAGACACTGCGGGCGGCCATAAGCTACATTAAACACCTGCAGGACCTTCTGGAGCTCAGTCTTTCTTAGGGAATGTCAGGGCAGAGGAACTATTCATTGTTTTGTTACTTTTAATGTGATGAAGCTTGAACAAATGTAATGCGTCCCAGATGATACACTCTTTAACCAATGTCTTTGTTTGCATACTTGATTCTGAAAATGTTCATGATTTCCTTTCAGGAGCATGCACAGGTACGCTCTTAGAAAAAAAGGGTATAGCGTTCTTTACTCAACTCCAAAGGACATTTTATGCTAAAAAAGGTTCTATAATGACAAGAAAGAACCCTTTTGGCACAAAGGTTCTTTATAGGCTATTATTCATTCATATATTACATTATTCTGCAACATTTTGTAGTTGTAATTAAATTATTGTTTATTAAACTGATGTAGTAACTTAATATCACATTTTAATCATGCTTATTTTTGGCGGATAAAAACTGAAATGGCACTCATTACATTTTTAACCCCCATATCTTGAATTTTGTGATCATTCACATGCATTGCATTTTAAGGGTTCCAAATACGTGCCGCTTTAGAACCTTTTAAGGTTCTATATAGAACCTTTTCTTCTAAGTGTGTGTGCTTAAAATGTATTTTGACTAAACAACAAAATCAAGGAACAAACCAATGAAAAGGTTGAATGGACCCTTTAATGAAAAAAGACATTCATAAAATTATGCCTTTAATTCCAACACATTCTCACCCCAGAATGGGCTGTTAATTCTCATTCTTAACTTTTTGACATTATGAATTTCTTTTCTCAAAAACATCACAAATGTTATAAAATGTAATTGGTTAAAGGGGTATTCGAACAGTTTAAAAAAAGTTAAACACTGGTTTAAAATGTGCAATGTGTCTTTTTGTGTTTTTTTAAACAATATATATATATATATTTTAAAAAAAGTTTATATATAGCCTACTTAAGGTGTTCATTTAATCATACAATTATTTTTCTTTTCTATTTTTCTTTGTTTTCTCCTTTCAAACATGATGACCGTAGTTGTAGCCTATCAGTCTATGTTGTGTTTAATTAAAATATGACAATATTTTCATTAAACACAATATAGACTGATAGGCTACAACTATAAAAACAATATGTATAAAAAAGTTGGTAACACTTTACAATAAGGTTTCATTTGTTAAACTTAGCTAACAACAGTTAATGTGAACAATACTTTTAAACAGCATTTATTAATCGTATTTTACATTTACAAATACAAATTTTAAGATCAAAATTTGCATCTCTTAATATTAGTTATAAACACTGTGAATTAACATGAACATGAATCAGTTAACATGAATCAATAACATTACATAACATTATCAATATCAATAACATAACATTAACGTGAATCAATGCAGTGAAAACATATTGTTCATTGTTAATTCGTGCTAGTTAATGCATTAACTAATGCTAACAAATGGATCTTATAAGTGTTACCAAAATGTTAATAAAAATTATGGATCCTACTTGTAATTTCACATCTGATGAAACTATCTTTGTGTATGGTCTATCTACACTGCTAGCCATACTTTTTGACTAATACTTTTTAAGGACAAGAACAGTCGGAGAGCTAACCTAATGGCCCTAAAGAAGCTGAAGCATTGTTTGCTATTGTGTTTATGGGATCTACAGCAAATGAATATTAAATCAATTTTCATTGGAACTTGAGTTGTTGCTGTGCACATATAAACAATAAATAAGACCCTACAAAAGAAGTTTGATAGAAATAGCCAAAACATCCAAATAACAACTTGAGCTAATGTTGTGATTGAGGCCATTCTAACAAATATGGTGGTGGGATTTACATTGAATCAGCCTATACACAATGAGGAACTGAAGTTCTTCGGAGATGCAAAGATGATGCTGTCAAGGTACTATTCAGGGCCAAGATTTTTTTGTGTAATAATAATGTAAAATTAGAGATAAATCAGTCAAAGGAGATTACCTGAAATCATTATACTTGACAATGTTGTGTTTAGAACTGAAACTAGCGTTGTGAGATTTTGATCTAATTGGTCAAACTGGTCAAAGGCTGTTCACATGAAAGCATTTTCAACTAAATGCGGAAAACAAATTTTGTAGTTAGACGGGAGACGATAACGTTATTGTTTTCAAAAACTTGGACTTTGAAACCAAAATGCATAAAAACTGTTCAGTTTTTAATTGAAAATTGTGTTGTGTAAATGCCCCACAAAGGGCAAGCTTTTGAAAAAGATACTGTTATCATCTCTGTGTAAACTACAAAAAAAAAAAAAAAAAAATATATATATATATATATATATATATATATATATATAAAAATGTTTCAAGTGACCAGCTACATGCATAATACAGTGCTTTTAGTCGTTTTCAAGGATCTGCCTAAACACTGATTTTTTTATTTTTTATATTACAGTATCTAATCTTCGAAAAACACAAAGGAAAATCTGTTCTGTTTTTAGTAGGCTACATCATTGTCTAAATGTACTCTTAGTTTCAAACATTGATTGAATTATATCACATGCTGAATCATTTTCAGGGTTTTTATTCACATTGAAATAGTATGGGATACTTTATCAGACAGCTCTTTATTCCACATGCAGCTTGTGAAAGACTCTGTACTGCAGGCAAATACAATTTATATCCATAACAATATAATAAATAAATATAAATGATTTGGTAACACTTTACAGTATGGGTACATGAATTATCATGAATTCATGTATAAATTAATCCATGCATTCATTCATGCATTACTATCTCGTGAATCATCAGGAACTAACACAAGTTCAATATTTTTCATTCATGACTTCATGAATGAACAACACCTTAATTAAAACATTAACTAAGATGAGCACATCATCATGAATTCAAAATTCAAATTATGTCATCATTTATTCACTCTCAAGTTGTTCTGAACCTTAAACTGCTGAACGCAAAATAAGATATTTTGAAGAATGTCAGTCACCAAACAGTTGTGGGGCACCATAGACTTACATAGTATGGAAAAATACTACTATGTATACTATGGAAGTCAATGTTGTCCCACAACAGTTTGTAAAATATCTCTTATGTTTTCAGTAGAAGAAAGAAATGCATACAGGTTCAGTGCAATGTGAGAATTAGTTTAAGTTAATTTCACTATTCTCTAAAAGAATGAGTCCTTGTCATTTGTCAAGTCAAGTCACCTTTAGCGCTTTTTACAATATGGATTGTTTCAAAGCAGTTTTACGGTGATAACAGGAAAATAATGCTAAAAAGCTTGTTTATTTGTTTCAAATAAGGTTAATGGTTGATATTGCTTTGATTTAAGCATTTAATATTATTATAAATCATATTCACCATCACCATCATTCACCCGTTTACGCACAGATTTAACACCCAATCCTCTGTGGACAAGCCTGCCCCTCTGGATAATATGTTCTGGAATGTATTTTTTACTTTGAAAAGGAAACAGAGGAAGTATAAACCACATCAAGCCACAAAAATACCCTCTTCACCTCTGCTTATACTTCACGCTTTAGCTAAACTACTGGGAAGCGGCATGCATGTTCTTTTCTTGCTAATGTACCAGCAAACTCTTAACCACCGCAACTGACCGGGAGACAGAAAACCAGCAAAGAGGAAAACCAATGAACCATGAAAGCTGGAAGAACGCTCTCTGTCAAGGTGGAATGAGAGTGTCAACAAAGCCCTTTCACAGCATCCGTGTGAATGGGAGCTGGTAATTAACAGAGGTGCTGGTACCCTGACTGTAATGGTTCAGTGGCAGGCAGCGGGAGGGAGGAAGTACAAATACGCAACTAGCACAATAATAGCCTTCCACCAAGATCACAATCACAGAAACACCACCAAGCTAGAAAGCAAATCTTCTAGCTTGCATTTTGTTTCACAAATAGAAGTGCACAAGATCTATCAGATAAAAAGTGATCAAAATGTGAACAAACTTTTGCTTTAGTTCTTTTTTTTATATCATGTTGATTGCGCTTACTAAAAAAAGTCTACTTAAAGTTCATTTCATATACTTATATAAAGTTAAAGGATAGTTTTACTGTAAGTATACTTTATGTAGTAAGTATACTAATATCAATGAACTAGTATTATACTTGTAAGTTTACTATTTCAGTACTAAATTGGCCCACTGTTTAGTGTTTTTAGTGTAAAAGTATACTTTTAAGTGCAACAGTTGTAATTTGTACTGCAACTACACTGTAACAAGTGAACTTTTAATAATTTACTAGTCAAATTTACTAGTCTTTAGAGCCTTCTTTATATTGCAAGTATACTTGTTTACTCTACTGTAATTGAACATTAAGTGAAGGTATAGATTTTTTTTTTTTACCTGAAATTTACCTTTAATTGTACATCAAGTTTAAAGTCAAATACTTACATGTATTTAAGGTTCGAAATTAATTCCTATGTACACGTGACTACACATACTCAGAGTTAGGAAAATATCTATTTTATTTATAAATCAAATTAAATAAGACAGTATGTAAAACTATGTGAAAAAAATATTGAATATCGAATAGGCTGCCCAATCAATAGAGCAAATACAACTACTAACCAAGTATTCTTAGAATAACACACATTATACTTTTAAGCATATCTTGATTAAGTCAAGTCAAGTCACATTTATTTATATAACGCTTTTCACAATACAGATTGTATCAAAGCAGCTTCACAGTGATAACATGAAAGTAGTACAACACAGACCAATAATATTGTTGAATATTAAACGTCCCCAACTGAGCAAGCCAAAAGCAAGGCAACAGTGGCAAGGAACCAAAACTCCACCAGGTGATTGGATGGGGATAAAAATCTTGGGAGAACCCAGGCTCAGTCGGGGGCCAGTTCTCCTCTGGCTAACATACATATTCAGTGTTGTAGTCGAGACCACCTCACTCGAGTCCGAGTCGACACCGAGACCAGAGAGAGTCGAGTCCGAGTCAAGACCGAGTCCATAGAGAGTCGAGTCCGAGACCACAGACGGTCGAGTCCGAGTCGAGACCGAGACCAGTGAGGGTTGATTACCTAATTTACTTTTATTTACTTAGAGAAATCCTTTTTTTTTTTTTTTTTAACTGAATTTACTTTTTTAGTAAAGTTTAAAAAATATGATCAGTTTAGGGTAAAAAGGCCACATAGTAGGTGGTGTTAAAAGTAATTTTATTACAATTTGTCATGCGCAGTTGCGCACTAGAAAATCACCAATCACTGGGCGTGTCAATCAATTTAAAGAAATATTTTATTAACATACATTAATAATCATGAAAAATATTTTGA